CTTCATTAGCACGGGTCAATGCAGGTCAATACAGTTAACTCTCGTGTTTAGTGCGCTACACGTCACTTCAAAACATCTCTCTTATCAAACCTACTCTATGCTCTTGTCAAAAGAAACTTGTCATCTTGTAAAAGAAGATGTAAACACCAACTTTTGGCACCCATTATCCGAGAGGGCGAGATACACAAACTTGTCTGTGTTTATGGCTTAACTGATCCTCTTATTCTTTCCACTCCCAGAGTGTCTCTGCTCTACCCTAATCTCTCCGGGGGTCTTACTGGCCCGGGATGACAAATGGGAAGTAGAAGCCAACCAAGCATGGACTCAGTGGAGAGGCTCAGCGCGGGGGTCCCTCTAAGTCCCCCACAACTCCGACTTGGATCATCTCTGACAAAGCCAGAACAAGCCCCGAGCATGAAGGCCTCACACAATCTACATACTTACCAGGTGCAAATAAAAATATCAATGCACTTTATGACATATAAACAAAGAGTCACAGACCAACACAAACAATCTTAAGTTTCAGTGCAGCAGTGTCATCTTTATAGCCCTGTCACATCCTCAGCCCGCTCTATTTTAGCATATACAGTCCAGCTCAATAAGACCATGTACTAAATGACTGCAATGTAATGAGTGTCTGTGGCTGTATAGCTTTGACACTGACAGTGCATGAGAATGTAATATGTCCTCTTCCCCCTTTTTGCCTTTCTCGCTTCCTCCATGCTCCTGTGCACCCCACTGCCTCTCAGCCATGGGATCAGCTGCAGGCGCTAATGAAACGTCAGTCAGGTAATTGAGGCTCCGGTGGTGGCGGCCCAGCCAGGCAAGCAGTCAGCCTGAGTGGGTGATGACACTGGGACGTGAACTACAGGATTCCAACAACCTCCTATGGAGCATCACAAGACCTGCTCCTACAGCAGCAGCCTGGAAAACAACACGTTTATCCTGTCACGTTTCAGGCTGTTTGTGTGGGGTATCAATCTGAGTGTGGACTCTATGCCAGTAAGTTAAGTTGTCACCTGAGTTGAATATTGTTAACCAGGTACCTACCAGGCACATGTTAAAGGAGCTATGGGATAGAGTATCATGGCCAATGTTACAGGCAAACTAAACTCACTAAACAAAGGTTATGGTTTGATCGGGCAGAGTTTCTCTGCATCCATTACTACGAAGGGTTTTGGAAATGCTCACAAATCAGATAAAGATGAGTTTATTAATCCTGCTCTCATAAAACCTCTTGCATAATGAGAGAATTATTTGATTGTTAATCAAACGCAAGTAGACGCACGTAGTGAGTTTTTATAAAACATTTGTACGTTTTTTACGCTAAAAAATGCTGTTTTTAACCAAATATGTAACAACATCTATTTTTTTCCATTTCACTGAGATATTCCACAATTTACTTTTTTTATTGCCAAATTGTGCCAAACTGGGCCAAATGCATTTCCGCCTGGAGTAAGGTTGCATTTGATTATGTTTATTTAAGTAATTATGCCATAAAAACATAATTTTTATGTAGTTTTTTTTAGGCGAACCAAAACTCTTTGATAATGTATTGTAGCCTAATGTACTCGTGCAAACTATTGTGGACATGAAAATGTTCACATCCACAGAATCCCCAAAGACTAACTTACAATTTGAGTAAAATTGCGTTTTCAACAATGTTCAGGCTGTGAAAAGGCCTGTATAGTACTTATATATGGGAATAGAGCTGAGAGTTTAAGGGTTAAAACAGTTAAAAATTAATAAATCAATAAATAGATAAGAAGTAGAGAGTGGTCCAGGCATCTCACATTTTGCATCAGAGCTGAGAGGCTGTGAACTTCTCAGAGGTGAAACTCTGTCCATTTACTTCTGTAATTCAACTTACAATGTGAAACCAATATATGACAGACTCATTACACACAAAGTGAGAAATATCAAGCCTTTATTTGTGAAAACGTTGATAATTGGCTCACAGTAAAAAAAACAAATAAAACATCTCATAAAATGTGAATATTAAAAGAAATTAAAAAATAACTTCAAGCCATGAATCATCAACATTTTGAGTTCACCTGTATAGCTTCACTATAAGTTACAGACTGAATAGCAGTTCAAAAAACTAATGCATAAAGTAGGCAAATAGTCACTAACTTACTACATGAACCACAATAGGTAACTAACATTTTCGATGTAGAACTGATTTTAAATTTGATCTCTCTTAGATGAGCATAACTATCACTGACTGACTATGACCAACCTGATTGGCTCCAGGAATCGTAGGGATTCAACAAGCTGTCTGGCTACAAGGTCATTTCTGCAGCTTCAAGTGTATAATGTTATTGGAGAGATAAATATACAATAATTTGGAACATTATCTGAAATAAAAATGTATATTTTTTAACTATATAATTGTGTGTGCTGCCAGGTTGAAGCTGGTGTTTCCTGAGGCTTTGATGGGCAGAGTGGACAGTGGGGTTAATGCCTAGCTGTAAGCACTGCTTAGAACCAGTGATTGGGTTTGCGTTACAGCAGATGTCCCCCAACAGCAAAAAATCCAGTGGAAATTACTTCCACTGTCCAGCCCTTTGGGCACTGAGTCTCTAACTTCCAACATTTCCAAGTGCTCTCCTCTTTGTCACCACACGGCATCCCAGAGGGCACAGGTGAATTTGATGTGGAACCATGATTAAAAGTTTGTACCCCCAAGGTGACCTTCAGTATCAGAGAGTCAAGGCCACACTGATGCTGAAGGAGTCACAGTGAGCTTCAGCACATGCACATTCACAGCTGTCTTTATTGAGCCTTCCCTATTCTTTTGTGAATTGCATGATGGACACAGTGATGTCTTACAGAAGAAGGGGATCACCAGTTGAATCAGTGTCAGATCAACACTCTCAGCAGAATTTCTTTGACGAGCACACCATCACATCTCCCAGGGATAACCTGCGTCTTCCAGCCCTGTCTCCCTGTCCACACCTTTTCTCTTAACTGCATGTTCAATCACAGCAGCAGTCTGCTACTGCAGCCAGGCGGCTTGTGGACAGTGACGTATGCCAGCGATTAGGCCTGATACAGTTCAATTATGATAAATAGTCAGCACACCTCTTAGACCGTGATTAAAGTCAAAGGCTGGTCTTGATAAAGAGATCCCATCTCACTGCCATCACCAGCACATTATAAGATACGGCTCATGCTTTTCACATCAGCACCGCACGAAGCACACTATAGGCAGAGCTTATAGCAGGAGCAGATAGATGTCTTTCTCTACATCTTTATCATTTACACATGACTGGTGGTGCATCCCTGGACTTCTGTTCTCAATTGAGACTACTACTTATTAATAGGAACACATTTTCAGGATTTTTTGGAAACACTGTATCTACAACAAAATCCTAGTCTTCCAGACACATATAACTTGAGAGAGTAAGCAAAGTTTGATGAATGGATGAGCATAGATGAAAGGAGCTATGAGAACATGAGGAGCGAGAAGAGCATTAATTCAGCATGAGGCTCATACGGTAGCGGAGAGGGGAGGAGGAAGCAAAAGAAAGATAGCCCTTTGGCTGTGTTCTGTCAAGGGAGAAATTACACATTTACAGAGGTTTTTTCAAGCAACGACGGCTTCCATAGATCAAACCAGTGGATTTATGAGCCAATTTTCAACATGAAATATAGACACCAGGAATTCATTATAGCCATGTTTACTTGGCTTTTCTCACTTTTCCTCAGCCCTTCTTAATCAATTGCTCTAGTCTAGTTTACGGTGTGGCTTGGCCTTTTGTGAATGAAGTTGCAAAACATATGTTGGCCTTTAACAGGAAAAAGGGAAACTACACTACACCATATAATTGAGATAAGATTTTATTCGTCCAAAATGAAGGGGAGGGTTGTAACAAGTTAATGGATTCATCTTAACCAATTCATTATTTATTTCTATTAGTTTAGAATATGAATATTCATATTGAACCTTAAGCTTTAAAATGCCATGAAGAGATGAAATACTCATTGCTTTCAAGATAATCTGGACCACATTTTACAGGATCCTCTATTATTCATTGGCCTATCAGGATCTAAACAACTACAATTTATCAGGCAAATATTTTCTCAATTACAAAACTATCAAAAGAGTTGTCAATTACAGCCCTAAAGCAAGATAAACTACATATTCAACCTGATGTATAATAGATCTTATTCCATGGTTCAATTGTTGATTAAACAATTGTGTAACTTTATTCACTATGAAGTGCATCTCTGAGGTAACTTGATCATATTAATAAAGTTACAATGTCACAATCCTATCCATGTGTTTCAGAATGATTCAAAATAAGAACCTTTTGTTATTTCAAAAACAAAATATCCTAGATGTTAATTGGGACCATAGGAGATAAAAGTTAATGTCCATTTATGTTTATATAAGAGTACCAGGGTGATGTTGAAGCAGTGAAATAACTTATTACTCAAACACAGAGTTTAATTGATTCAAGTAGAAATGTATACTCAAGGTCACTTCAGGCTAGCGTGTCAGGCCAAACAGAGAATACACAGATGAAGTTACAAGTAGACTCGCACATTTCCCATAACCCTAAATGCTTTGCCATTATTAGATAGGGGAAAACTCATGGGTGACAAATAAGCATTGGTTCTTCAAGCTCCTACTCCAGGAGTTTTCTTCTTTCATCCAAATTCATTCATTTCAATTACCTGGGGTAACACATTCCAACATGTCCTGATTAGCCCAGCTTGGCAATTTACAGTTGATCTTACCTCATCTAAGGTTGGAGCGAGGGTGGAGGCAAGAAGGGGAAAGGTAATGGAATGAAATGTCACTCAGTTGTTGCTTCTATGAAAGTAAAGGTTGCCAAAGCCACGGAGCAGGGTGGAGAGGTCTCATTAGCTATAGAAAACTGGTGTCTCCGTGTCTGTTTGCGAGCAGTTTACCAAAATTGTAAGATGCTTGTAACTATTGTGGCAAGTCTTCAAAGTTGATCAAATTGACATTGTATCTTTAAACATGTGACTTATGGTTTTTTCATCTTTTTCACAGAAGATGAGCTGGAAGCAGATTCTCTGCGTTTGCGCTAGAAAATAAGAATAATAATGATCAGGTATCGGTTTACAACAATCTAGTGCCGTTTGGGAATCCAAGCTTGTATAGCACTTACTGAGTTAGGAGTGAGTGGTGCTCCTACCACGTCAATGATCTGCTCCTTGGCTTCCACCTTGATGTCGTCTGTGGGCCAGGGCTGAGCTTCGGTACTTGGTGTGGACAGAGCAGTGTTGTTTGTGGAGTTAACCTCTCCACTCGGCGTCGTTGGGATAGGTATAAGTGCTGCAGTAGGTGCTCCATTCCCTGCCTTAAGCAGTGCCTCATATCGATGGCGCAACATCTGCTGCTCATACTCACAGTTGCTGTGTGCTTGCTTCAGCTCGTAGAGGAGTACAAGGTCACTGCGGAGCTCATTAAACATCTGCACAATCTCCTCAGTGGGCAGTGGGTTCAGGTCTAAGTGGAACACAAGAGGGTTTTCAATATTTAGTAATATTATCGCCAGAGTTGAAAAATTATGTTTAAACTCACCTACACCAAGATCAACAAGCATCTGCTCAATGGCTTTTATCTTTTTCTGGCCAACTGAGCTTGGCAGTTTCATCTAAATAAATAAAAAAAATGATGTGAATATATAATAATCCTGTATCTGTCAGAACAACGTAAGTCAAAGAAACACTCACAGAAAGAAACATTAATCTTACTCAACAGTCATTGAATTCGACTTGACTTACCCTCTGACTACGCAGTGTGACTCCAGCAGATTTAAAATCTGGAAATTTAATACCTGCAGTCTCAGGTACAACCTAGAATAAGCCAAGAAAAATAAAAATATTAACAGTATTCACAACTAGTATTCACTAACCCACTGGGGTCTGCTGATAAATGTTTACTACATGTGATTTCCACTTCTATAATAATGTATAAAAAGACAAGAGTTGGATTCGTACTTTCATGGATGTGCTTACTGGTTTTTCTGTTTCTCTTTTTTGAGGAAGCTTTTTCTTGGAAACTCTCTTTTCAGCCCTCCTCAGTTCTGCGGTGGTGTCGGCTGCTTTGATAAGCTTCTGTAGATCCTGGGTTTTCTTTTCACGTTCCTTCTTTCTTGTCTCAATCTTTCTGAGCTCTTGAACGAGGTATTCCTCTTCTGCCACCTACAGGAAAAAAAGACAAAGAACAAGAAATATATCTAAATGAAAGAACTTGATAACATTTTACTCATAGTATTCAATAATTTAGTACAGTGAATAAATGCCAAGTACAGACAGGCAAATAAAGATACAAAAAAGCAAACCTGTTCAGGTGTTCGATTAAAAAGTTTTTCAAGTTGTTCTTTTCGGCGTCTCTCATGGCCGGCATCAAATATGTAGATCTTAGGTTCTGTCCCTGAAGCTGCCCTGACTTTCGTGAGTTTCCCACATATACAGTAGTAGCGCTCCTTTAAGTCTTCCACTGAACGTTTCTGTAGTGGCACAATTACTAAATGTTAACACCAAAATGTATAGGGTATTATGATCTCAAGAAATAAATAATGTTACCCTGTATTGTTGGTGATCATAACGATCATGAACGACTATGAAACGAAGGTCAAACCGTTTGCACAGGTCAAACAGGTGATCAGTTTCTGCTTTGGTCCAGCCATCATCATGTAAATGCAACTGATACTCCTGCTCCGAGTACACTGGTACCTGTACTGTCTAAAAGAAGATCACATTAAAATCATGAGTTTCAACTATAAGATAAATCCATGTATCTGCTTCATTTTACCTTGTTGAATCGCGCAAATGCGTAGTCCTTTCCCTCTTCTGCAGCACGTCTCCAGTGATGAAATATAGCCCCATCTCTGCGTGCTGGATTTGTGAAAGGCATCCACTTCCAGGGACGCACTTTTTTGCAGCCCAATTTGGCCTTGACTGTTCTATAGCCCTGAGTGGTGTCACTGGGTAGGAGTGGTGGCGCATCTCTGAAAGGATATGACCGTAATTATAGATGAGGAAAAAAAAAAAAATCATGAAACCATGGTTTACATACTTCTTATCTGAATATAGAAGCGCGTAAACCTCCCGGTGCATGCCCTCTGGTCTTTTGAAAGTCAACGTTTCTGAAGACTTTTTGCTCTTTTTCTGTTAAGGCAAGAGAACAAGGTTAACTGGCCAATACAAATGAGGTGTATGACAATTGTAAAGTTCATGAATAGATTTGGAATTGAAATATGAAAAACGTCGTTTGTAATCAGTGTAAGAGAGGATCTAGAAATATAGCCTGTTGCAATTGACAATGAATGCAAAAAACTACACTATAAATTATCATGCAAATCAAAGTAATCCAAATATAGTAACGGTACTTCCGTTAACCATGTAACGGAATACGTTACAAAACACACTTTGAAGCAGGTATTTATTCTACCCAATAATATTTGAAAAAAAAAAAAGCATACCTTATCGGAGTTGATGAGGTCTTTCTTACTGATGGGACCATCATTCTCTCCTCCGGTCAACTCCAGGATATCTCTCACGTCAGCTCCAGTACCCATGATTTATTTTATAATGATTCCGACGCCTTACTGTATTGGTCTATATTTGAGTAACGAAAGCAGCCTCTCCACAATACAACAGCAACTGCTAAAATGCTAAAATGAGCATTGTGACGATGAATGAATGTGAGGTACGCTTTACAAAACAAACAAATACATTTTCGTCAAAGAGTGATAACCCCACAACACCTAAATATGTGATTGTTCAACAAGTACTTATCTATTTGTAACTTTGGCCAAGAATAAATTGTGTTAGCTCTAAGACATCCGAGCGTCTCTGTTTGTTTGCCAAGCGGCTTGCTGTGTGGGGATTGGAAGGTGAGTATCGCCCCCATGTGGACAGGCGGGGGAACAACAGGACGGGAAATCCATAGACAGATGTTTATGTCTATGAGGAGATCGGTCAAACATACCCTGAAAACCAAGACTTGCCTGGAATCACTCAGTATTCGGGATTATAATATTCGCGGCCCCCCCTTGCTCTTTTCTTAAACACTGCGTACATATGAAGTTTGTTTTGTATGCCTTTGTGTCCTTGTTCTGTACTATGTAAAGTTTGATTGTAATTGATATTCGGGGGTGCTCATAAGCTTTTTGCTTCAGTCCACTCCTTAATGCAATGTCTCCCAAAGTGGGGTCCGCGGCCCCCTGGTGGGCCGCGAGGGTACTGCAGGGGGGCCGCGGGAGGTCATAAGAAAAATAAAAAAATAATATAATTATTTAATGTTAAATTTATAATGTTTTGTTTGTAATATTAAAATATTTGTGTTCATTATTTGACTTGAATAATCCACTGTAATCATTTTTGTATTACAGTGTTTGTAGCAGAGGCTATTTCCCCAAAATAAAATAACCAGAAGAGCCTATTCTTAATGTTGTCTTCTTGGTTATTATTTTGGGGGGCCACGCAGACCCGTCAGATTTTTAAGGGGGCCTCGGTGTTACTGAGTTTGGGAATGGCTGCCTAAATATATAAATAATGATTTAGCTCTGAAAATCTGAAAGTAAGATAAGATAAGATAAACCTTTATTCGTCTCACAGTGGATAAATGTCAGGGTCATCGTTGCGCACATTACAGCAGAGAAAGAAGGAAATAAGAGCACTCAGATGGCACACATCAAATAAGTCTATTATTTAAAATAATATTAAGATAAGAATAAAATAATAAAATAAAATAAACTCTGGGGCTATAATTGCAGAAGTATTTACAGATGTATGTATTGTACACTAGCAGCGTAGTATATGAATATGAGCAGAATAAACATCAGAAACAATATCAGCAGGTAAAGTGACAAGTGAATGGTGAATGGAACTTCAGTCATCTCCATTCAGAGGAAAAAATAATATAGAAGTATAAACTTGTACACACTATGGTACATCATAAGTAACAACACATACGATGAACGTGTACAGTTAGAAATAATAAAAGACATACATTTGCTTTATTTTGACGACAGAGCACCTCAGCGGTGAACCGGAAATGCGATGAGATTTTTCCTGAGTCGGCCATCTTTGTCCCCTCAGTCTCCTCGCTTCTCTCGGGCAGACGCTTAAGCTTCATCGTCTTCATCAACGAACTAATACAACTCACGGACTCCTCTGAAATATTACATTAGAATTGCTAATCCTACGTAAATATCCGAAATTAAGTTTTGAGCTAAAACATGTCTACCGATACCGCTGAAAACCCGATCGCCTCGACCGGAGCGAAGGCGGAGGAGCAGCAGGGGTGAGTCCATTCAACACCGGTTCTTTGTTAGCCTAGCACCAGGTTCGCAACACCCGCTATTTGTCTGCGTTATTACTCTTTACGTCTTTAAAGTACTGTGCATTTCTCCAAACTATTAAGATTTAAATGTAACTTATTTACATTCAGCAGATCACGTGTTGTAGGGTCGATCTTTGTATGCCTCTTTCGCGGTCTTACGTGCAGCAGCCATTTTGCTCAGCTTTGCATTATGGCCTTACTTCTCGGCCCGAATCATTTAATGAAGTGCTGATGGTTTAATACTACAAATTAACAATGGAAATAGTACACACTGATGTTTTACGGACCTATTTTAATTGTTTTTACGTGCACATTGCATATTGCTAATTCTATTTTTTTTTCTATCTATATGTTTACACTGTGTTTTCCCTCACAAGTGTGTATATATTTTTACAGTGGAATGAATGGAAAAGCCAGGCATGATTCCACCTCGAGGAAAGAGAGACCCGTGAAAAGAGGAGGAGGAGGAGGAGGTGGTGGGCGCTTTGAACCCTACTCTAATAAGAGATACCGCATCTTTGTTAGCAACATCCCCTACGATGTTAAATGGCAAGTGCTTAAAGACCTCATAAAAGAGCAAGGTAAGTTATACAGTTGTAACTACATGTATAATTGAACCAACCAAGTTCTAATTATTACTCTTGAGATCTTTGTGAATATTGCATCATCATGGATGTTTTAACTTTTTGTAGGAATGTAGCATATTGGAACATGTGCTGCGTGTTTGAGTTGCTATAGATCTTTCCAATTGTTGTGAACATCTTTTGAAGAACAGTGTGAATCTGTATAATTTAAACTCTTAAGTCTTGGTCTGGAGTTACAGTAACACTGGCTACAGTGTTTTTGGGTCATGATGCTTGCATTATAGTTGGTGTGAGTAAATACTCTAAACTTCCCTTTGGTTCATTCAGTTACACTGACAACTGTTTTATTGTAGACATGTTGTTTGTACAGTTGACCTTGCTCAGTAACAGACATTCTTATACTATTTATGCAACGTCAGAAGAAATATGCAAAATGGAAACAAAAGCAGGCACCGAGTCTGGCCTTTTAGTAGGATGTGTTCTTTGTTGAGTTACTTTTGCATTTTCCTTTTTAGGTTTGACATTGATGTTTGTTTTCTCAGCAGATCATCAAGTTGTACCTTACACAGATGTGCATTTGGGATTTTTTTTTATGTACAGGTCTACAAAATGAAGCTACTTCTTAAGCACTGTTCTTGTCTCGAGAGGTTTGGTTTTTGAGGTCTTGTTGAAAAACCTGTCGTCCTGTCAACACAAGAAAAATGATTGCATAGGGTCCGCTCATATCGTACATGATGATTGGTCGCTGTTCGATGCTGGTGGGAGGATATTGATGCAATAGTTCGAGTTGAAAATAAACGCAATGATAGAATTGTAATCAAAGTTCATTCACTTCAGTCGTTGAATTAGTTTGACTTGAATGCTGATGTACTATTTGATAAAGCCACCTCTACATGGTATGAAGTTTGTAAATAAAATAATAATAAAAAAATGTTGAAATTTGTAGAGCTTTGTTGTCCATAGTCTATTGATTGTGGTGTTTTGGGAGAATATACCAATGACGTGCTAAGAAGTAAATTCTTTACTTGAATGCTTGCTTTTTGTAGACCTGTACTTTTTGTGATGCTGAGGTGCTGTGGGAGAGCTCAGGACTAACAGTCCAGGCTCGATTTCACCGGCTGCCCTTCTTGTGTTCTCCTCTAAACTCCCATTGTTCTCCCGGCTTCTCTCCCTTGGTGTGTGTCGTCTCTGGAATCTGATTTGTAGTGGGTGAGGTAACGTACGTGGATCACTTAATGGACGCGGAAGGCAAATCAAGGGTAAGTGCAAATACATAAAAAATAAAATAATGAATTTTCCAGCCAAACTTTTGTCTGGTCTTGGGTCTCAACTTTGTTGGAAAATTGTGGAGTGTAGTGTTTGACATGCTGGAGACGTGTTCGATGTGGTGTCATGTGCAATGACGCGAGGTCATCGGAGAGTTGATGGTCTTAAACTGAAATTCAGCCTTCTCTGTAGTCAATTCCTTAGATACTTGTTATAAGTTGTTTGGTTTGTCACCAACTTATAGGTTTAAGAAAGATGATGTCAATGGTGTCTAGATGGTTGTTAAATAAATCCTTGATGCTCTACTGTTCTGGAAATATTTACAATATCATAGACGTGGGTATCCTGTTTTGTGAATATTCCGCCTTTGTGGGTGGTGGAAAAGTTTAACTCCATATTCCTGGTTGTTTTGTGTCAACGCAAGATATTTATGTTACAGTGAAATATGTCAGTTGGTTTGTGATTGTTCAGCTGCAACATTATATCTATGCTAATTCTGTTTTCTTCCCTCGTCCTCACTGACCCTTTCTGCAATCACCCAAGGGTTGCGCGTAAGTTATATTATAAACAATGTTATAATTACTGTAGTGACTGTTTGACTTGCATATTTATGCTTTTGTTTTTCCACTTTCAGTGTGGTTGAGTTTAAAACGGAAGAACTGATGAAAAAGGCAGTGGAGAAAATGAACCACTATGAACTCAATGGGAGACCCTTAAAAGTGAAAGCCGTAAGTTAAAAAGGTATTTCACCTGCCACAGTTGAAAATGCATTTAGTCATGTTTTTTTATTTTTTTATTTCAGGATCCTGATGGTTTTATTACACAAAGGGAAATGAACAAAGTCCAAGGTCCACCGGGAATGATGGGTGGAATGGGAAGAATGGATCGTATGGGCATGGACCGCATGGGCATGGATCGGATGGGCATGGATCGGATGGGCATGGATCGGATGGGCATGGATCGGATGGGCATGGATCGGATGGGCATGGATCGCATGGGCATGGATCGCATGGGCATGGATCGGATGGGAATGGATCGCATGGGCATGGACCGTATGGAGCCAATGGGACCTGGACCAAACAGCTCAATGGTCAACATACCTGCAAGTCTCATGAATAATCCCAACATCCCCAATGAAATCATCCATGGTCTGCAGGCTGGAAAAATTGGCAACAGCATCTTTGTGGCTAATGTAAAAAGTTATACACATTCTTATGTCCATATTTTATGAAGACATGTGTATGACATTGCTTTTGTTTTGTTTTTGTTCATAGCTTGACTACAAAGTCAACTGGAAGAAGCTGAAGGAAGTCTTTTCAATGGCTGGTGTTGTGTTGAGAGCTGACATTCTGGAAGATAAAGATGGGAAGAGCAGAGGCATGGGCACTGTGACCTTTGAAATGCCTATTGAAGCTGTTCAAGCTGTCTGTATCCTTTTTCAGATGTTGCACATATTTCATATACATTGTGTCAAAGAAATGTTTCCTTATCGCTGTAACAGCTATGTTAAACGGCCAAATGCTTTTTAACCGCGTCATGTATGTTAAACTGGTATGTAGACTATTGTGACATTGTGTATTTTTATTTTTATTTTTTATTCTAGGTTAACTTTATTTTTCCCTCTTAGGATGAAAAGTCTATGCCAAAAGACATGGCACCACCTGAGAGACCCCCAGCTCTTCCCCGTATGACTTTGTGTTAATTGTGTTCTGGATGAAATTAGATATGTAGCTAATGTGTTTTTTGTTTTGTTTAGGTGGTCTCAGTGGAGTTGGTATGGGTCTGGGACCAGGAGGGCAACCCATTGATGCGACCCAATTAAACAGAGGTGGTGGAGGAGGGGGTGGAAGTGGGATGGGCAACATGGGTCCTGGAGGTAATTTTTTTTTTTTGGTTTTTCAACCCTTTGTTGAGAGCTAGAACAATTTTTTATTTTCCCTCTTTTTAAAGGTATGGACGGAGTTGGCATGGGCAGCATGGGAAACCGTATGGGAGGTGTGTAATCTCACTTTCAGACTTTAATAAGTTGCACTTATTCACCCATTGAGGATTTTTCTTTTGTTCTAGGAATGGACAGTTTTGGTGGAATGAATAACATGGATCGCTTTGGTTCCTCGGGAATGGGAAGAAGGAATGGTAGGAGAAGTTGAAATGCTGGTACTCATTCGAAGTGATTAAACTTCTGTTAAAATGGGTGCAGAGATGGCCCCCGTGATGGGTTGTTCCTTAGGAACTTGGTTTACTAATAAAATAAAAAGGCCAGTGAAAAGTAATGTAACGAGGCATTTTATTGTTTTAACAGGGAATTCCTCTGGGATGGACCGCATGAGCTCGGGAATGGACCGTCTGGGGGGCAGCATGGACCGAATGTCTGGGATGGGCATGGACAGAATGGATCGTCTTTCTGATCTAGACAGGCTTGGCTCTGGGTTTGACCGCATGGGGTCTGGGATGGACCGGCTTGGGCCCAGTATGGACCGGCTTGGCCCAAGTATTGACCGCATGAGCTCCAGCATGGATCGTTTGGGTCCCTCTGGATTTGATCGCCTTGGTTCATCAAGCCTTGACCGCATTGGTTCAAGCCTCGATTTTGGCTCCCCAATGGGTCTGGATCGCATGAACAACTCTGGACTAGAGCGAATGGGAAGCAGCTTTGACCGCATGGGATCTTCAGGGGGCCTGGATCGCTTCTCCTCTGGCGGGCTCGATCGCCTGGGTTCTGGCATGGACAGGATGGGATCAGGGAGTGTGGGAGGTCAGTTTGATCGCTCTGCTGACATGGATCGTGGATTTGGTGGCAATTCATTCAGTGGAGCTGGGTCATCTGCCTCTGGAGCCGGTGGCAATCCCAGGGGATGCCAGATTTTTGTGCGCAACGTAAGTTTTTCTTTTTTTGCATTTTCTAAATTCTGTGTTCTTTAATTTTGTGTTTGTGTCTTTACTCAGTTGCCCTTTGACTTCACGTGGAAGATGCTTAAGGATGCTTTCAATACATGCGGTAATGATCTTTTATCACTACTCGTTATAAAGTTGGTATGTGGCCATGCCTGGATCTTAGGTCAGATCGCAAAATCTGAGGGCAGAGGCTGTGACAGTACTGTGATGGGATAATTTTGAACTTTGATTGCACGCATAGTAGGGCATAGTGTGGGCAGACCAGTGCATATTTTATATACATAACTGCGAGTGTGGGAAATTAGTACATTTTAATTGACTAGTGTCTTTACACATTGTCCAATGTTCATGGACACACAACGTTTTCTAGTGTGCGCTTTGCTGTGCTGTGGAAAGAGGGACAGCCTGTCCCCCCCCATTATCCAAGATCGCAGAAAATGCAGAGCCAAACTTGATAGCAGCAATGTAATTTTATTTTATTTTATTAACCCTACAATATGGTTGTCAAATGGGTCCTCAAAGGTCCGGTGTGACTGCAGGTTTTAATTCCAACAAAGCAGGAGCACAACAGACTACCCATTTCCTTACGTGAGCCCAGTCTTCCCCTGAAGACTTGAGGAAGTGGGTGGAGTCTGGTGTGCTCCTGCTTTGTTGCAACTACAACCTGCAGCCACACTCCTAATTATGGAACCAGTTTGACACTAATCTAAAAAGCCATGTCTGGAAGAACTTGGTCTGTAGAAATTCTGGAGCTGCATAATGGGCATCCAACAATCGACTATACTTTTGAATTCACAATTTATATTTACAATTATTCGGCTGCGGCGTGTAGGTTCTCTGCAACACAAAATGCACATGATTCTTGAGTAATCAATCCATGGTGTAATTTTCCAAATGAAAACGCATCAACTCGCCATATGTGACATCCTCCAGCTATATTAGTCCTGACTGACCTTTAGATACACTGACATGTTTATCTTTACATTTCTTCTTTTTAGGTATGGTCCAGTATGCTGATATTAAGCTGGAGAATGGCAAGTCAAAGGGCTGTGGAGTGGTTCGTTTTGATAGCCCTGAATCTGCAGAGCGGGCTTGTCGCACCATGAATGGTTATCGACTGAATGGCAGAGAGATTGATGTCAGGATGGATAGAAATGCATAATTTTTTGGGGCTTTTTTTCCACCCCAAGTGATCATCTTGTTAAAATAATCACTTGCCTGGAGCTTTCTAATCGTGACAGTTTTTTAGTTATTTGTTTAGTTCTTTCATTTTATTGACAAACTTTTTAAATAAAAACATGTTTTGTGTCATGTTATCTACCTTATAAGGTGTTTTGATAAAATAAAACTTCATAAACAATGTCTTCATTTTTTCGAGTTTATTAAATGTATTGTTTGGAATGCTGAGATTCTAGGCCATTATACATTTTATACAAACTTAAATTCACCGACGGTAATTTCAAAGAATGCTGATTGTAGATCGCATAGTTTCAGAGTATGGGTCAAACAACGTAAATAAACAGTTCAGACCATACACAGTTCATGCCCGATACAAAATATAAGACCGGAAGTAGATTTACGCACTACATACAAGATGGCGGCTCCCTTGTGCCGATGTTATCAGGTGGGGTTTAAAGTTGTATTCATGTTTTGGGTGCAGCTCGTCAAGATTATTTGTAAAAAGGGTTTTGCTACTAAATGTATAATTGTTACTGACATTTTTGACCGTTCAAGTTACACAAAACGCCATGTTGAACCATTGAACTGGCTAGCTTCCATAGCGTAGATTAGTGAGCGCAGCATGTTCAAATCCTGACCTTCTAAAACGCCAGGCTCTTTCTTGTAAACATGTCACATTAGAATTGACCTGCATGACACGTTTAAACGATGCCATGTAGTTATAGTAGTGTTTTTGTGTATTTATTTGACCCAGATATGTGTGCGAAGACACCATGTAGTGTTTCCGTCCTCCTGCCTACCGTATCACAACAGACGCGATGTGTTCAGGATATCTGGAAGTCCCGGAATCTCTCTGCGGGTAACGTTACATATTCAATTATAGGCCTAAGTTAGTAAATGTGCACTGTGTAGCTTCTCTCACAACCGCTGTGTCAGTTGTGTAGAGGTGAGCTACCAAAAAGAAAAGTGCCCCTTTAAGATACAATGTAATGATTGTCTTCAACTAATTTCCTACAATTTTCTTGTAGGAATTGCAACCTGCACTTTTGCAAATGAGATACTTTTCAGCAGATAGGGGAGGCAGTAGAAAAGGATTCCTTGGGGAACTTTTAGAAAATATAAAACAAGAACTAAACAAAAGCAAAGAAATGAAAGAAAACATAAAGAAATTTCGTGAAGAGGCCAAAAAACTAGAAGAGTCTGATGCACTCCAACAAGCCAGGAAAAAATATGTGAGTAGTCAATCTAAACCTTTGTGTTATACCAGTCTTTAAGCTTTGAATAAATGCGTTTTCTTTGTTATAGAAAACAATTGAGTCTGAGACTGTAAAAACATCAGACGCACTAAAGAAGAAATGGGAAAATCTGACCGAAACTGTCAAAGAGGTAATTTTTACTATTCTATATTCCAAACATGAGCATGTTTTCCTATCATATATGATTGTTTATTACATAGGGGTTTGAAGAGGTCACTCGAACAGACATTGGGAAAAAAATCAAAGAAGGTGTTGAAGAGGCAGCCAAAACTGCAAAGACCTCAGCCGAAACTGTCTCCAAAAGTGGCGAGAAGCTCGGAAAGACTAGTGCTTTCAAGGCAATATCCCAGGTAATGTATGACTTAAACATTTATTCTAACTCATAGTATTTGAACAAAACATTTTATTAATGTATTCCATATATAAAATGGCAATCATTATTTCACCAAAGAGTGTAGAAAGCATGAAGAAAGAGATTGGTGATATGGGTGACAGGGGTCCATATCGACCACCCCCGAGACTGAGGAAAAGGACAGAGTTTTCATCTAAAGCTGCGGGGGTGGAAGGAAAGGTCTTCGAAGCCAATGAGTACGTGAGTGATGCCTAGCATCAAAACAAATCTTTTACTGTTTGCCTTTATGAATACAAATATTTAAAAATGTATATTCTGTTTTGGCAGGGAAGCTATGGGCATTGTGCTTCATAAAGACTCAAAATGGTACCAGCAGTGGAAGGATTTTAAAGACAACAATGCGGTATTCAACCGTAAGGAAGAGGGTTTATTCAATTGAACAGAAGGGGATAGATCCATGTAAAGACCAGTTTAACTTATTTGACTCATGGTGAAATTGGTATATTACTGACAACTTAGGACTTGCCTTTCACAATTGCTTAAGATTGGATTAATGCTGCTTGTCTCCGTTGCAGGGTTCTTTGAGATGAAAATGAAGTTTGATGAGAGTGACAATGCTTTTATCAGAGCCTCACGTGCTGTTACGGATAAAATGACTGATGTAATTGGTGAGATGTGTGAGAATGGGATTTAAAGCAAAATACACACTCTATTATACATTGATACCTACTGTACATTTATTAGGTGGTTTGTTCTCAAAGACCGAAATGTCTGAGGTGCTGACAGAGATTTTGAAGGTGGACCCTAGCTTTGAAAAAGATACATTTCTTAAACAATGTGAACGTGACATTATTCCCAATATACTAGAGGTGAGAAACATAAGCAGGTCCATTTCTTTATACCGTGATGTTAACACCTCCTTCTACAGGCTATGATCAGAGGGGAGTTGGAGATTTTAAAGGACTGGTGCTATGAAGCAGTATGTATACTCAATTAACTATTTTTGCTTTTTTGTATTATATATTAAATTATTAATGTATTTCCTGTTTTGTGTCTTTTAGACATACAGTCAGCTTGCTCACCCAATTCAGCAAGCGAAAGCCATGGGTCTTCAGTTCCACTCAAAGATCTTGGACATAGATAATATTGATGTAAGTGTGTGCTAGTAAGATCAGTGTTTTAGCATAAAGTTTCCTGCTCACTTGGCAAAATAAGTCAGTATTGATAATGAAAATTGCCATAGGAGAATATACAAATATTCAGAGTTTGAAAACACATCAGAGGCTAACTAAGTAACTACCACTCATATTGCAGTTGTTATCAACCTGAATATAAATAGAATGAATAAAAGGGAAAATTTGGTTAAATAAATTTTTAACTTTGTAGTTTTTTTTAAGAATCAAAACGTATCACCACAACGTAAACTAGAGGTGGCCAGGCAGCTCATGACATTGAAAGTACCACAAAAAACATGAAATTTTCAGACAAAATGGTTGTATTTAAATGGTATTAAGTAGTGTCTCTAAATTATTATTTGGATTCATGTTATTTATGAAAGATCTTTTACTTTTTAGTTGGCCATGGGGAAGATGATGGACCAGGGCCCGGTGTTGATCATCACTTTCCAGGCTCAGTTAGTGTTGGTGATTAGAAACACTAAAGGAGATGTTGTGGAAGGGGACCCAGTAAGTCACACATGACAATAATATTTGGAGCATGTACCATATTTCTCATCTATTACAAGTTTTTTAATCTCTTCTCCATGTTCAAGGACAAAGTGCTCCGGATGATGTATGTTTGGGCCTTGTGTCGTGACCAAGACGAGCTAAACCCATATGCTGCTTGGAGACTACTTGACATTTCTGCATCGAGCACAGAACAGATTCTGTAGGAGTCTTAAAGCTGCAGGTCCAGAGGGGCGCTAAGGTGTGATACAAAACACTGAAAATGCTCATTACATGCTGTGATATGGACTGAAGCGTCACTGCACTAGAATATGATTCTTCTGGAGAAGTGCTTAGGAGTTTCCTTTGACACCTCAAATAACATCCATCCATCCATCCATTTTCTTCCCTTCAATCCATTTCTGGGTCGGGGGTTGTCAGTCAAAGCTGCACCCAGTACACAGAGCACCAGTCCCTCACTGATCCTCCTGCAGGTGGGAAGTCCACAGGAGCACCTCAAATAACACTAGAGGGCAATAGAGTACCTCTAGGTTCTCCTCTATAGGGGCCTGAACGGAAGAGTTTTGCTATGTCCGTTTTGCAAATAAGGTACACAGATATTAAAAAAAAAAAAAACAGTATTATGGAATCATTATTCAAACTTTTGCAGAATGTGATCATGCCTTTAAAGGTCTGTGGGATATTTGCTCAGTGCTCGGATGATTTGTGTGTGTAGACAGTTATGTGAAATTATATTTATAAGATAAAGATTAAGATTGTGAAATAATTTTGTAATAAATTTCTCTTGACTATTGTGTTATCTTGAATCTGTCCGAGATTATTTATTTATTGACCTTTATTTAACCAGGATAGTCCTGCTGAGAGTACAGAATCTCTTATTCACAGGAGTCCTGGTTCCAGAGGGGAGTAGCCTGGTAGGGAAAACAAGAGCACCCAGTGGAAACCTGCACAGACATGAGGAGTACAGGCAAACTCCACTCAGAAAGACCCTACTACTTGAACCAGGACCGTCTTGCTGGAGGTGGGCACTCTAGATGAAATGTATGGCTTATCTACATTTAGTGGATCTGTTTAAAAATGTTGTATTTAAGTGATTGTCTGAAGTTTGTCAGAAAAAGAGAGAGGTACTTGATTTGAAAAAAAAACAACACAAGCTCCCTCCCCCTTCCTTTCTGATTGGTCTACGCCTAAGTTTCCGTAAAACTTTTAAATGTTAATCAGAGAACACATTATACATATACATTATTAATACACATGCACAGAGGTTTTCAGAATTATTTAACGTTTTAATGAAAAAAATGTTTTTATGCACAAAAAAAGCGATTGCGGCAAACCCGGAAGAAGCTATTATCATGATTTGCACATTATAGGACACATCTGCAGAGGATCTGATTATGGATATAGGTTCAGTATATACATGAGTTACTCAGCGCAGCTGTTCAGAATTCTTTGTTCAGTTTTCATGTAGTTCCAGAGCCTAATAGAGGCTTGATTCGGAGGTTCCGCGAAAACAAACAACTGAGCATGAGCAGCTATGAGCATCAGCGCTGATGATTGACAGCCCTTGGCATGACTCGATTGGTTAACGTGGACGGCATTGTGGATTCTGAGCTATAGCTAAGAGAAGGGAAGGCGGGACTTTCCCTTAAGTCATTTTATTAATTCTAATATTATTTTATATCAACATTTAAGGCCAGGAGGTCAATTTAACACATTTCCTAAAATTTGTATTTCATTTAGAGTTACAGACTATCACTTTTAATTCCTGTGAAAGTTGATTTTTAAGAATATGATACAGCTAGGTACAAGTGAAATAGCTTTAAATGCCCCATCTTTATGTGAAATTATACAATGATTCCTTTACAATTCTTCAGTGGATGTTTTTCCACCAGGGTTAAGGACACTGGTCCAGGTTGTTGGAATGATAGATACTCTCAGTTGTAGAACTGTGCTGACTTTGCTGTTCCTCTGCATCTTCCATTGTTCATATGTGTCTCCTAGCAGCACACCCATATGAAACAACCACAGTCAACCAAAAGTTACACACACAACATTTATGATTAAGTTTGTCTTTAATACTCTCGCCCCAGGGGTTTAGTGCAATCAGCAGTGTTAACCTGTCTGTTATTTCATTGTTTGGATCATAACCATAGATAAACCATGCATCACTCTATAGAATAGATGGATAGATGGACCTTTATTGTCCCCTCAGGGAAATATGGCCAGACATTAAATTATCTCAAAAATTAATTGAAAACTTTTGTACAGTGAGAATAAATGCAGTGGCATTCATAAACAGCTTCACATGGACGCCACTGCAGGATCATGTTATATTTGTTCTTGATCAAACCTGATGCCGCCACACTGGAGGAGTTTGTGTTGACTATTTTGTGCAGTTTTTTGTCTCTTTATGAACATGTGTTTCTAACCAGTGCAAAGCAAACTGTTGCAACAGTCTGCATACTCAATTTTCACTGTTTCACCGCTGATATATCAATAAGTGATGGAAGAGTAAGTACTTACATCCGGATCACCATCGGAACTGTTCCGATTGACTCAAGTGCTTTTTTTAGTTATTACATTTATTTACAGTTGGCATAAAAACAAATTTGAGGGGAAAAAGTCATTGACTTTACTGACATTGATTACTTTGATTTACATTTAAATGCAAACAGGAGTTGAGTCAAGTCTCAACAGAAGTAGGCCAGGAGTGTCACATAGACTTTGTCACCTGACTGACTACACGCGTCCCTGGGCCAGCACAGTTACCTTGTGCCTAGTGAGTTAACAGCATCTTGGATCACAATGGATGAGGATTTACTATAAACTGCATTTGAATATCTGAAATGTAAACATAAGTTGTAAAAAAACAAGGAAAGAAAAAGACATCTTGATATGAACTTCTCCAAAAAGAAATTCATCAAGGTCTCTTTCCTGTCCTGGTGTTGTTATTGAACATCTGCGTCATTTCCTTGTTCCCTGTCATGATGGACCATTAACCAAACTGTCCTTGTGCTCCTGAGGCACAGGCTTGTCGTTTCACATACTCTTTGCCTTTGTCTAATCCTTCCCTTGGCTTATTTTATACTATTAATATGATGGGCGGCACGGTGGCTGAGTGGATAGCACTCTCGCCTCTCAGCAAGAAGGTCCTGGGTTCAAATCCCGGCCGGACCAGGGCCTTTCTGAGTGGAGTTTGCATGTTCTCCCCGTGTCTGCGTAGGTTTCCTCCGGGTGCTCCGGTTTCCCCTACCACTAAAAATATGTCCAATAGTTCTGGCATGCGCCTCCTGTACTGGCCCCGCTCCCATCTCTGTGTGGAGAGGAACATTAACACTTGTAAACCGCTTTGAGACTCAGATCTGCAGTGAAAAGGCGGTATATAAATAAATACTTACTTACTTACTTACTATTATATCCTTTTTTAACATAAATGAAAAAAAAAATGGTTTTCTAGTGGATGTTATTAAACGTCATCATTTCAATTAATATACAGTCCATAATGTCCAACCTAGAGCCACATTTGCTGGTGCAATATGCCTGTTAGTAATGAGTAGTGAGATAAGTGTTAGGACAAAGAGGATTTCTTCTGGAATTTAAGGTGAAATTTGTGCAGATGTATCAATGAGGAAAAATAGGAAATGAATTGTGACAGGATGTATCTTGTTTGGATGAAATACATATATAGAAGATCTGAAGTAATTCCAAAATCACTGTGACAGATTGCAATTAGGTTTTTCCTTTAGAGGTTATCCTCATAATCTTTTCATAACTTTTCTTTTGTTATTAATCCCATAGCAGCATTATCTTTGTATTCTACTGAAAGTCAGCAGTCAACACACCCTTATCTCATTTTCATATACTGCCCCAATCCCATGAGATCTGTCTGAGATACAGGGAGCAGCCAAACACAGACACGTGTTATGAAACAATATCTTTTACTTTTAATAAAGGCACAGAGATGCACTGAGAGACAGGACAGCGTACAAGCTGGCCTTGGATGCTTGTTCAGAATTGTAAATAAGTGGCAAAACCAAGCAGGAAATTGTATGGAGCATGTTAGAGTGCAGGTCAGCAGTAATAAGGTGAATGAGTGCTCTGACCAGCCCCTTTGCACATTTAGATGGGCAAGACATGTGGACGTGCTGGAACTGCAGGAAACAACATTACACAGAGAGGAGGAGAGCAGTGTGTGTCTCTCAGCTGATAATCAACCATCCCACTGGGACGCGCATGCTCAGCCCACGTCAACTCATCCACGTTCCAAACAGTCACATACGTTTTTAAGACTATTAATCACTAACATGATATCCCATTATATCCATCCATCCATCCATTTTCTTCCGCTTCATCCGTTGCCGGGTCGCGGGGGCAGCAGTCTAAGCAGAGACGCCCAGACTTCCCTATCCACACACACTTCCTCCAGCTCTACTCCGAGCTCCTCCCGTGTGACTGAGCTCCTCACCCTATCTCTAAGGGAGCGCCCAGCCCCTCTGTGGAGGAAGCCAACAGGACAACATCGTCTGCAAACAGCAGAGATAAAATCCTGTGGTCCCCGAACCGGACCCCCTCCGACCCTTGGCTGCGCCTAGAAATTCTGTGAATACAGTGAACAGAACCGGTGACAAAGGGCAGCCCTGGCGGAGGCCAACATGCACCGGGAACAGGTCTGACTTACTGCCGGCAATGCGCACGCAGCTCTGGCTCCAGTCATACAGGGACCGGACGGCCCTCAGCCCCGTACTCACGGAGGACCCCCCAAAGGACACCCCGGGGAATACGGTCAAACGCCTTCTCCAAATCCACAAAGCACATGTGGATAGGTTGGGCGAACTTCCATGAACCCTCGAGTATCCGATGGAGAGTGTAGAGCTGGTCCAGTGTTCCGCGGCCGGGGCGAAAACCACACTGCTCCTCCTGAATCCGAGATTTCGACCATCGGCCGTAACCTCCTCTCCAGTACCTTGGAGTAAACCTTACCGGGGAGACTGAGGAGTGTGATCCCACGATAATTGGAACACACCCTCCGGTCCCCCTTCTTGTAGAGAGGGACCACCACCCCGGTCTGCCACTCCATTGGTACCGGCCCCGATCGCCACGCGATGTTGTAGAGACGTGTCAACCAAGACAGTCCTACAACATCCAGAGACTTTAGATAGTCAGGACGGATCTCATCCACTCCCGGCGCCTTGCCACCAAGGAGGCT